TAGGTGTCCGTGACCTTCTCTTAGATCCTGTTGAATTCTCTGTGAAATCCAGTTTCTGCTTTGGGGTTTCCACAAAGGCTGTGGTATCATCTTCTTCTAGCTCTGGTGCTATGGGTGTGTGTGAGGCTCTGCCTGGTGACTTTGTTTGTTTCCCAAGTGTTGAAAGCTCTTCTCTCTCATCTGCCTTATCAAGACCTGTCTTAGACAGTCTCTTTTTGCTTGCTGGGGTTCTGGCCAGTTCTGGAAGTTCTAGATATGGTGATTTATTGGACATTTTTGTGACTTTGTCACCAGGGACTGGTGACAGAAAGAGTTCATGGAAACCAGTCAGATCTTGCATGGGCTGAGCCTTCTCTTTATCTTTTTCTACCGGCTTCTTGCTACCAGTTGAAGTCAGGTCCGGCATTCGATTTTCAGATTCCTTCAAAGCTTTGATTCCCCCGTGCTCAAGTTCTGGAACTTTGGTAGTATGTCTGGTTCCTCCTGACATGTGCACAAACTTCTTTTGTTCAGAGTGTTCTTCTTTCACGTCTACTTTCTTCCCAGATGTGCTGTGCCGTGGTTTTGTGCTTGATTTGGTGTTATCTATTGTAGGTTGTGGGGGTTTGCAAAGGACTTTGTTTTTATTATCTCCCATGGGTTTGTCTCTGCAGTTTTGTGTTTCGAAGAACTCCTTGAGACTAGCTGGCTCTTCTAGAGGCTGGGTCTTTCTATCAGGAGTCCTTGGCCAGTGCTTCATGTCCGCTTTCTGTTTTGTAGCTCTTTGACCATCATTTATTGGTTTTTCTGTGGTTCCCTTTTCTTGATTAAATATTTCCTCAGCACAGACTGCTGTTTGAGTGACCATCTGACTTCCTATTAAGTCTTTCGCTGGCTTCTGCTTCCTGGCACTTGATCTCATAGTTGATGTTTTTTCTGGATCTTCTTTTAATTCAACACTTTCCTTGAATTTTTGTGAACAGTATTCCCTGTCCTGTACCTGTTGATCCACTTCATGTCCTTGCAGTGATGTCTTCCTTAAGTATCTTACTACGATGCCCTTGGCAAGGTCTGCTTCTGTGCTTTCATTCATACTTTCTACAAGTGTATGTCTGAGTTCTCTAGACCTTCGTAACTTCCTCACACTGGATACTGTCTTCAGAGGCTCTGTCACAGAGCCTGGAGTCTTCTTTTCAAGGTGAGTAATGTTATGAACATTCTCAGGAGTTTGCACAGTGTTTCCATTTTTGATGCTCCTCCGTCTTAAGGTAGGACTTGCAGAATATTTATCAAATGGTTCCACAGATGCATTCTGAGTACTGGAGAGCACATTTTCTCCTGTAGGTAACACAATTTAATAATACAATAAATGTATTATTTTCACCATCAAAGGTCAACTTAGCATTTTATATTTAGGAAGTGTATAAGAACCAATAATTTTGTTTCTTATATAACAAGCTACTCGATGATCTAACAACTGTTCTATAATGTTATTTGATGATAAAGCAGGGCCATTGCAAAGTGTCTTCTAAAAACTGCCATGACATGTGATGTGGATCTAAATACAGGCAATTTTTGTTCTGAAACATCAGAGAGTTATTTATTGTCTTGATTCACTAATGAAGTAACAGGTTCTATTGTGTATGTTTAGGGTCTATTATCAAACTCTATATGTAATCAACAATGACCTTCTGATCCTCCTGCCTCCACCTCCCAAGTACTGGGATTATAGGCATCACCACATCAAGTTTTTGAAGGAACTAAGAACTGAACCTAGATTTTCCTGCATGTCAGGCAAGCACTCTACCAATTGAGTATCTCTATCCTTGCAGTAATTCTTAATTCGTGTAATTACATATGACAGGTCAAGTGTACTGTTTGCGTTTCCATCATCTTTTAACAAAGATGTTAAAAGCACACAGACATCATTTAAACTTATTAACTGAGTCAGCAGTTCTTTCTACAAAGCTAGGTCAGTAACTAGTGTTAGTAAGACTAAAAAGACTGCTGAAAAACAGAACACAGAAGGTGGAAATAGCATTTCACCAGGAAAAGCTATTGTAAAGAGGTAATACAATACTGTCAAAAAAATAAAACAAAACAAAAGCATCTTGAAGTTCCCATTCAAAAGTGTAAGAGAGGTAACAGACAAATAAACCAACCCAAAATCTCTGAGGTGAAAGGCAGAGGTTTGTCTCCTGAATTAGTTACTTGAAACTGTTTTTCAGGTAAATTCTCTGAATTGGAAAGAATGGAGCCCATGTCATTCATCTGCTGCTGCTTCTCCTTCACTGGAGTCTTGAACATTTCAGTTAGTCCTGAAAAAGGAAAATATTGGAAACATGGCTTACATTATCCCATTCCTCATACAGGACAAGTTAGATGACAGAAAAACGCTCAGATTCTAGGTATGTATCATCTCATTAAAATAAGGACTTTGTTAAAATGCTCATTTAAAAATGAGGGGACAATGAGAAGACAAATATATCCAGTTTCTTTAACCCTCTCCTATGAAAAAGGAAACCAAGTGATTTAGTTGACCACTGTGGTCTTCTAAACTAGTTCCCAAAAATAAGTCCTGGCAGGGGGACAAAAGCTGGATATGGGCACCTCTTTTCAGGAGATATCCACCAAGAATCCACAACCTAAGGGCCTTGTTCTATACTCAAGAAATCCTAGGTTTCTCAGGATCTAAATCTTATGTACAAATAATATGTGCCCACATTTTAGAATATTGACAGATCATTGACTATTCTCAGTGCTATCAAGAACACACACACACACACACACACACACACACACACACACTTTAAGTGCTATTCCCATTCATTTTAAAACAAAAAGGCAGTAGTGACATAACTCCATATAAATGATTAAACTTTCTGAAAAGTTAATGTGCCATGCTCCTGTCTTGTGGCCAACACAGAATGAGAAGTTGAGTTGGCACTCACCACAGAATGAGTCTGGGAACCATTGAGGTGCCCATCCACACTAGTCTGTTAAGCAAGTCTCCTTCCATAGCCTTCTGTGTCTTACTTGAAATACTTGAAAGGGTTTACTTTCTATTGTTTTAAAATGGAAGTTGCCAAGTCAAGCATGGTAGCATTAAGAAGGTAGAAGCAGGCAGATCTCTGTGGGTTTGAAGCCAGCCTGATTAGTTAAGACTCTGTTCCAAGAAAAAAGGAAAAGAGTATGGGGGGCGCTGTCTACACCAAGGGATGAGAATTGTCTGACTCTAAGAATGGGTATAGGAGAAAGGAACATTTAAGACAATCCATTGTCTCAGGAATAATGTATTTAAAATCTTATTTATCTTTGAGAGTTTTTTAAATAATATATACATTTTTCATCACACTCATAATTTATAATCACACAATACACTTAGCTACTTTTTTGCTTTTGTTTTTTACTTTTATAAAGATAAATGAATTGATCCAAATACAGTTCTTTTAGGGGTTACTCACAACCATTATACACTGAGGTGTTTGGTCATTTTCAATTCCTAATCTGCAAGAAATAAAAATAAAATTCTACCTGCTCAGTTCAAATATTCTCTTCCAAATTGTACAACTAGAAACTATCACATATTGAGGAACCTGAAATAAATCTGCTTTCTTGAGAGTAAGTCTAAGCAGCCAGTCACACTTACACTGCTACTAAAGCAGAGTGGAAACAGTTCAATTATCAATAGCTCCAAAGAACTTTCTTATATGGTTTCCTCTTAGCAAGCAGTTAAGCTCTGTAGAAAGAAAATGAACCTTGAAGAAGCATTAATATTGCTCTAAACCAACCCGTTCTCTGTGATCAGCTGTCATCAGTGCAGCTCCTCTAAGAGTTAGTAAAAGAGTCTTTTGCCCTCACACCACAAAACACCTTTCCATTTTCTATACGTATGCGGCTCACCAGAGGGTATGAACTTGAGATTTCCTTCCCTGATTCCTGCCCTCTACTTCCAATCAACTTCATCTTTGAATCTTATGACACCAGAAAGCTAGCTTGACTGTAGTCACATTCACTGCTGCTGAGTTCCCGGCTGTGGTTCTCAGGTGGTTGTAAGGGGTCGGGTGGGATGGGGTGGAGATAACCACCACTAAGGAAGTCACAAACAGAAGGGCCAGGAAGGCTGTGACTACAGGTATTCAGGTTGTATTTACCTGACAGATCTTCACTGAAGTCAATTTTTTGGTTTAACATCAAGTTGTTCAGCATTTTGTAGGGCCGAGCAGGCATGCTTACTTTTTCAATCTGAGCTCTTCCTATTACAATGGTACAGGGAGAGTTTGCATGACCTGTGCTAAACTGATTTTGAAGGTTGCTTGTAGGTTTCTGTAGACAAAAACAAGAAAGACAGATTATCACAGCATGAACAATATATGCTTATGACAATTGAGAATAAAAGTAGTACATGGCTGGAACACTGTACCTTGGGAGTATTAGGTCTTCTTTGTCTTTTGCTTGCCTGCTTTTGAGGAACATGTTTTACAACTTTTGTCTGTGTTTGTTTCGTGCCAAGTTTTACAACATCTGCCCATGATTTTGCAACTGTCAAAAAGAAAATATGGTGAAACTTTTCAAAACTTAGCATGAAAAAAATTGAGCTTGAAATATTTCACCTAGGACATCACTAACCAATCAAATTGGCTTCAGAAGCACCGCTCCTTCTTTTGGAGGAAATCATCTGTAAAATGTCATGCTGACTTCGGCTGATAGATGCTCTCTTGGCAGGCAGGTTGCCACTCTTCCTGCCTGCTTTTTTGGGAGTGTCTGTCTGAGGTAAGGATCTGCTGCCACTGGAAGCAGGTACACTCCTGCCTGAACTGCGTCTTTGATCATTTGCGCTTGGTGGAGTTATTCCAGGAGACTCTCGCTTCCCTGGTGACTGAGGCCGTTCCTGACAAGGCAGAATTGTTTATGAGAAACCTGACCAAGAGGCAATGTTTCTGTAGTGTCTACTAGAAACCTTTACAACAAACCATGTAGCTTCTAAAAGCCCATCTTTCAAGGATAAGAAAGGGCCAATTATCCCATTCATTTAAGCAACGGAAGGGAACATACACATCGGAAGAGTCTGAACTGAGGTATTTCTGGTAGATAGAAATGGTGACATCACTCAGTAAAACAAGGCACTCTGATTTCAGCCCAGTCAACACCAGCCCAAGGTCTGCATAGAAGAGACTACTCACTTTTGGGAGGTGGGACTTCAAGGTAGGAAAGGATTAAGCAAGCCTACCAGGCCTTTTGGGACTAACAGAATAAAGCTGACAAAAGCTCTTTTAGGAAATTAAGTTATGCAGCCATACCAAGGAAAAGCAATAAAACAGAGGGCCAAATGTCTAAGGAGCTGAACATGCAGAAGAGAGATGTTTTAGCAAAGATTATCCCTTCTGCAACCTCAATGCCCTTATACTTCCAGAAGAAAATAAAACAATACTTGTGATTACATATGCTACTGTCTTCAGATTCTTTTAAATGGTGTCGCTGTGACCCAGGAAGCTAGATGGCCTTGTGGGTGTATCACAGTCTTCAAAGGGAAAGTGTCCAGCATACCACCTCACCTCCCAGAAGAACCACCTGAGAGCCCATATGGTTGTTTCTGAGCATAAGGTAAGTGGTAGAAAAAAGGGTCTCAATTGCCATTCTACCTCTGCCTAGGTTTTGAGTGGAATGTGGACAATCTGTGAGCCACGATTATAAACACAATGTGACTGTTCTGCTTACCTTGATAATTTTCTTTAGGACTGTTGGAGTGTGAGGGGCAAGTGACTTCCTCTTAGTCGGTGTTTCTCCTCTTTTGAGTGGTGTATTAGGAGGCAAGTTTTCATCAAATAACTCGGGTCTCAGATGACCACCAAAGGATACACGCCTTCTCTTCAAAGACATTCCCTCACTCTTGTCTGAAGTAAGGAATACAAACATGAAAAGAGCAATATAAACGACACGCCAGGACTTAGGATTTAATTCAAACTAGCATTAGAAAGTAAGGCTTTGAGGAGATACTGAAAAATGGCACCCTTATTCATAAAACTGATGAAAACAGAGCAGCCTCAGAACTCCCTAAAAGACCTCAAGAGAAAACAGATGCATTACACTTCAACTGGACAGAACCATGAAATAGCTTAAGGTATCTGCACCAGAGGAATCAGACCCTGAGCAATGGCCTGAGGAAACTCAGTAAGACATAAATACTTAGGCCAGAACAAGACTTGCCTTATGAGTAAACTATATGAGCAGGAAAAAATCTCTAAGTAGTGCCTGTGGACAGACAGTTCATGCAACCCAAACCCCATTATACAACTTCGTAAGCAGTCTACATAAACCCCTTGTCCAGGACAGACACTCCATTATAAAACTCAATGGAATACTGGCTGTTGGGTTCAAGTGTCACTGAGAGATAGCCACACCAATGGACACCAGCAGAAACTATTCCTAATATAAAGGTTGTGGTATTGGAGTCTGGAGACATTTTATTTCTGTAAGTCAGCATGAAACAGGTATGTAGGAAGATGCCACAAGGTTACTCACTATGTAGCCTTGGGTTGTCAGTTCTTGTTTGTAACAGAGATAAAGAGAAAGCTTTTTCTAGGTGGTGAAATGGTTCAGCAGGTAAGGGTGCTTTGCTGCCAAGCCTAAGGACCTCAGGGTCATCCTTAGGACCAATATGGCCCATGGTGGAAGGACAGAACTGACCCCTATGAGCTGTCCTCAAACTCCTGCACAAGATCATGCATGGCACATGCTTACACTCCCTTTCCCCCCTATACACACAAATAAGTAAATGATATAAAAACTTAAAAACAAAATGTTAATGTCTTGGAAGCATGTAGAACTTTGCTGGTGTAGAAACCTGAGTCCATTCAGTGTCTATAATAAAGTGCTTGTAACAGACTGAAGAGATTGTGAACATCCAAGGGCCAATATGTTCAATGATGGTCAAAGGACTGCTCCTGGTTTATTCCCAAGAACCAATCTCACAAAATACAACTGGTATTCAGAACCAGGCAGTAAGTAAAAAGCCGTTATAATTATACCCCTTATTTGTAAAAGAAAACCACATTTTTCCTGACATGGTTCCTGCGATGTGGTTCCCTCCTAAACTAGCTAGCTACACCACCTCTGTTATCACTCCTGATAAAAGGCAAAGTCTTCAGTACCCATACACCTTGTTAACTCATAACATATAGGGAAGATATTAATTAATTAGGGAAAGTAGATCTACAGTTAAGCAACTTACTAATGGAGTCACCAAAATTGCTGATATCAATGGAACTAAGACCAGGTAGCCCAGAGTAAATTTGCCTAGCTGCTGTGGCCAATTTCTCAGGCTTGCTGAAGGAATCCTTTGGAGTTTTCTTTTCATCTGAAGCAAGGTGATGAGTTGAAGAGAACTGGCTTTGTGTTTCCACAGACGGCACTTCTATCTTTGCAGGAAGACTCTTCCTCTTTTTGGAAGAGAGGTTTTCTGGTTTACCAGCAGGGCTGGCAGCACCTTCCACTTTCACTGGAGTTTGGTTTCTAGTTGCCGGCTTCCTAGGAGTGACTATCTTATAATCTGCCTTGGCACCTTCACTTTCATTCAGATTCACAGATTCTCTTCTGCCACTAACATGGGACTCTTCATTCTTAAGTTGCTGTGAATCCTGCACAGGGGTCTTCATTTTAGCTGTCTCAGCGAGCGAGAAGCTGGAACTCAGAGCCTCTGAGGAAGTCTGAAGAGGCCCCACAGCACTACTCTGGTCCTCAGTCCAGATCTTCCCTACTTTGGGTGAAGAGACTGCAGGACCAGGGGTGCTTCCACTGGATTTTGCTCTTGACTTGCATGACACCAATAGCTTTGTCTCCCACGTTTCTTTTCCTGCTGCACATTCAGGTTGTGGTTCTGACTTCCTACGAGACTGTTTCTGTGATTTTATATTCAACTCTTCCTTCATTGACTGATAAAGTTTCTCAAAGGGAGATTCATTTTTCTTGCTGTTGCTAAGGCTCTGTGCAGGAGAAGACTTCAGTTCCCTGTAACTGCTCCCTGTAGCCCTGGACTTCTTAAAAATAACACCAGAAGTGGGCTCTTCTGTGTTTCTGTCACTGTGCTGTTCTACATGCCCTGAAGAACAGGTATTGGAGGGATCTTGGGTAACACTGTCCTTTGAACCACCTGAGGCAGAACTGTCTCCAGAGAGCCTCTTGGCATGCACCAAAGATCTTCTTGAAGCAGTGGTTTTTGAAGCATTGGCATCTTGACCTTTCTCATCTTGGCAACAAATATGAAATAAGAAACAGAAGTTCAACATTTTCTCAATGACTAACATTTTTGGAATCCAGTACCTTATTTTAGATTGCATTATAAACTAGCTTTTCATTTAGTCGACAAACTACTTAATTCCTTTTTTTTTTTTTTTTTTTTTTTTTTTTTATTTTCGAGACAGGGCTTCTCTGTAGTTTTTGGTGCCTGTCCTGGAACTAGCTCTTTGTAGACCAGGCTGGCCTCAAACTCAGAGATCTGCCTGCCTCTGCCTCCTAAGTACTGGAATTAAAGACATGCACCACCACCACCCAGCTATTACTTAATTCCTTACACTTGTCTTATAATGTTGTTTCCATCCAGAAAAAAACACATTAGCTTTGAATAACATGTGATGTAACATATCCCACTAACAACTCAAGATTAAATGACAGCTAAAAAGGCGAGCACTAGGGAAGAAGTTACCCAGCTATCTATCTGCTTTGGTTTGGCATGTTAGATGGAACAAGGCTCTTAAGAGTTTAGAAGACCAGGAATTTCATGCCTGTGTACCCATGATCCCACCCTTGCCAATGTCATAATGATCTGATGCTGACAGTCCCACAACAGAAACCAACCAATACCAACCGGGATCATCAGAGAAGCTAGCTCTTGAGGCTCGCTGCACGGGTTCCTATAATTGGGGAAGATAAGAATAGGAATTTAAGTGCCTTCTTAGTGTGATCATTTTGAAACAATGAAGATATTCTTCTTATCAATTATATTCTTTCGCAAAGTGCTTCTTCATGACATTTAGATACTTGAGAAACAGACCCAAGTGACTTAAAAGTTAGTGGTCATGACCTAAACACTTCTTAGCAGACTTAAGAGCTTTCTTTTTTTCAATTTTAAGGTTCATTTTCTATTTGTGTGTGTGTGTGTGTGTGTGCGTGTGCGTGTGCATGTTTAGGCACATTTGTGTGGGTACCTGTGGAGGCAAGAACAAAATGTTGGATCCGATGTTAGCTGAAGTTGTGAGTTGCCCAATGTAGAGGCCAAAAACCGAGCTTGGGTCCTTTGGAAGAGCAGAGAGCACTCAACCTCTCTAAGCCATCTCCCCCGGCCCCCTCTCCTAGTACATTTTCTAGAATGTCTTCCAATATCACATGAAGGAAGACAAAGTTAAAATTAAGTTCCTCCATCTGCTAAGTCACCACAGGCACAAAACTATAGACGCCATAAGTTTCACCAGAAACTAGGAAGCTTCTTCAGCACTCAGTTTTCACGGTGTAATTATTTTAGACACACAGAGGCGGACAGGGCTCAGTGAATAGGAGATGAGATGAGTCATGAGCTGTCTCTTTTGTTCCTGTTAGTTCTCAGACTCAAGACAAATGGCTAACTGAGGTGCCCTAAGTGGATGCTGACTACCAGGTTCTCCCAGCATCCTCCTCTCTCTCTACCCATTACAAGATCCTTCTGGCTGGCATACCCTACCCAACACCTTAAACTTCTCTAACCCAAGGGCTGGGCTGCCCTCCCAAGCTACTCTGACCCCTATATAACTCAGCTGTTTTAGCTATACTCTTGGCCCAAGCTGTCCCTCTTTGGTAGGAGGCTCTTTTCCCTTCCCCTTTCTCCTCACATGGCCCTGCCATGTTCACTCTGGACTCTCCCAGACATCTGTCTTTGCCTATGGTCTCAAATCTACAATAAACCTCTTCCACCACACTTAGGAGCAGCCATATTCTTCCTTTTTTATATCTTCTTTTTCATTCAATTTCTATGTATTCAGACTATTGTAACCACAGGCTTTTGTAAAATCACAACACAGAGTCTAGAGGAGTATCAGACCAAGTTAGCATTCTGTTTTTAAATAGAAAAACAAACAAAAAATAAATAAATAAGGTTTAGTTATTTTTGCTATGTTCATGATCAACTTATTTCCTTATTTTGTTATATATTTCTGCTATAATCAGAAGCCATTCTTGGTCACCAATTTAAGAGTGAGAAATTAGTTGTTAAAACATATAAATAAGTTCCTACCCTGGTTAAGGAATCAGAGTTAAACCTGAGTATTTCCCCTCACCTGTCCAAATGATTTTCCTGGAAATCCCGATGATCTGCTTTCATCCTCATGATTTCCTTTTTCATACCTACAACACATAGAGAATCCAGCATAGGATTTGAACCTCCAGGTTCAGGGGTTATAGATAGAAACCCTGGAACAAACTTTAGGCTTTGTCCCTAGTATTACCTTAAGCCAAGAAATTGGTTTAGTTTAGGAATTATTTTTTTGGTTTTTCGAGACAGGGTTTCTCTGTAGCTTTGGAGCCTGTCCTGGAACTAGCTCTTGTAGACCAGGCTGGCCTCGAACTCACCGAGATCCGCCTGCCTCTGCCTCCTGAGTGCTGGGATTAAAGATGTGAGCCACCACTGCCCAGCTAGGAAAAATTTTCATACTAAAAACTTACATAACAGAAAACTAACTACAAAGCATGTTTTAGAATTATGATCACTTCTTTTTCCAATCTCTCTGGAGGGAAGGCACATCTTAGGAAGATGGCATTAGATCATGGCAGATCTTGGTGGTCAGTTCATAGCTGAAACCATTTACTGTGTACAATGAAACTTTGGTACCTCAGAGAAGTGGTCTGATTTGACTTTAGTTGCTGTTTATGTAAGATCTAAAGACAGCTAGCATCCGGAACCCTCTCCCAAGTATTACCTTGTTGAACTAAGCCTCTTTTAAAGAGTCGAGTCAAATTAGAGACAAAGGACATTTTATGAGAACTTAAGGGTAAATCCATTAAGATATTGGATCTAAGAAAATAGTATATTTTCTTACTATATTGTAGACAATATAGTACTACTATATTGTCTACTATATTGTAGACAAGTTACAGCAGGTTCCAAGAAACAACAAAAGAATTATAAAGAGTTGAAATTAAGGGGATAGAAAAGCTGTGCTATGTGAGCACTAGTAAAAAGGAATTGAGTTTAGTTATATTTATCATCCAAAGGAATCCTAAGGCAAAAGATACGACAAGCCAGGCGGTGGTGGCGCACGCCTTTAACCCCAGCACTCAGGAGGGAGAGGCAGGCGGATCTCTGTGAGTTTGGGACCAGCCTGGTTTACAGAGCGAGTTCCAGGAGAGGCTCCAAAGACACAGAGAAACCCTGTCTCGAAAAACCAAAAAGTGACAAAAGTAAAAATATTTTAAACAACAAAGAATTCTGTGCATAATTTAGAATTATGTCCAGGAGTCCACAATCATATAACCGAGTGTAGCATCAAAAAATATAAAACAAAAAATGATAAAGAAATTTAAAAAAATAAGTTCTCAGTGGGTGATTTCAAAATATCTCTTAAACTATTAAGCAGGAAAATATAAAATAATTATTAATAATAGAGAATTTAACAGCTCTATAGTTAGAACAGTGCATTCAGTAGCTGCAGAATACCGTTTTCAAATACAGGAAGCGGGGAGGACATTTGATCACAAAGAAAGCATTGACAAATTTCAAGTGGAAATCACTCAAATGCTCATCAAGAACAAACTGTGAACACTCTTACACATTACTGCAAATATTGTGACTGTTAGTGAAATGCCTATACCGTGAGAAGAAACAAGCCAAAGGTGCCCAACATGCGGCAAATCACACACACACACACACACACACACACACGCACACGCACACGCACACGCACACACACACACGTACTAGTCAGGCACAAACACATGGAGTTTTACATTATAGTGTTTAGAGGCCCACCAGCAGGTAACAAAACTCCAAAGATACTTCTCTCTTACAGACACCATGTAAGAGAGAATAAGAGAAAAGAAATAGTGATTAAAGAGAGCGCAAAGAAACGTGTAGAAATGTCCCTTGTGACTTAGTGGTAGTGTATTAGTCTGCTAGGACTGCCACAACCACAACACAGACAAAGTGGCTTAAGTGACAGAAATGTGCTGCTCACGGTTCTGGCTGGAAGTCCAAGGTGTCTGCAGGGATGGCTTCCTCTGGGTCTCTCCGACCAGCAGCCCTCTTCCTGCCTCTTCACAGTGCTTCCCTTCTGTGGATTTGCTCACCTGGTAACTCTGGGTGCTAATCTTTTCTTATTATAATGACATCAGTCCTGGGTTAGGACTTCAGCCCAATAGCCTCAGTTTAACATACTTGTTCTTTAAAGGCTAAAAAGCTGGGAATTTTAAGATGTGCCATCAACACTGGAAAAGCAAAAAACAGGAGGGCTCTTGGGTTTGGCTGTCTAGCCAGTCCAGCCTACTTTGTGATTAAAAAAGGAACCCATATGCTGAGGACCACACCTAAGGTTGTCCTTCACTCTCCATAGGCACAGGTGCAAGTGCCTGTGCATACTCACACACACACCACAAACTCACCCCATGAGATATTCCCAACACACATCAACACCAAAGGACCACAGCCGGACTAGAACCAGTTCATGATTAAAGAGAATGTAGAATTAACCCTGTTAGTTTTCACCCACCTAAAAGATCGGTCAATGATGGTAATTATATCTCCATGCTTCAGCGGCACAGGCTCCTCTACAGTAGCCCCATTTACTTGTGTTGGATTTGTGGAACTGAAATTATGCAATATTGCCTACAAGTGGAGAGGAGAGGAAAATACTAAGGATTTGCTTAAAGTCAAATTCAAAAGCTTTAAAAGTTGATGTCCAAAACCCACTTACCTCCTGCTCAATGATTTCAATTTTACAGTGTTTTTTTGACACTACAGGCAGTTGGATACGAATGTCACATTCAATACTCCTTAAAAAAAAAAAGTAAGGTTTTTATGGGGGGGGGGGTGCAACAAGAACAAAAAACTCGCACCAACCTCAAAAGACAAAAACCAGACAGAATGTGACTAACAGACTATAAGTGTAACGACACAATGATACAGTACTGCCTAAGAAGCCATAAAGGATTATTAAAACTTCTAGTACTTCAGAATTATATTAGAAAACACTAGAACACATAATCAATCACCTTTTAAATAAATAGCTATACTAGGCAGGGCGTGATGACGCACACCTTTAATCCCAGCACTGGGTGGACCGAAGCAAGAGGACTTCTAGAGTTCAAGGTCAGCCTGGTCTACAGAGCCTAGTTCCAGGACTGTCAGGGCTACACAGAGAAACCCTATCTCAAACAAACAAAAATAAAAAGCTATACTTACAAGACACAAATAATGGAACGCTTTATTATCAGTTTAGGAGAATTTTATATTGAATGTGTTTATATAACAATAAGGGTACTTAAGAACACAGACAGGTCTAGCATAAAATGGTGATTAGTACCTCGGTTTCTTCATACACAAACGGTCTATACCAGCACCCATGTTGCTATTCAGTCATAGTTGTGCCACAGTAAATCCACGTGAGTTTTTCACTGTTGTTTAAAAACCACACCATGTTGACAGATTCAAAAGTTTTCACATTACAAACAGTAATCCACAAAAACTGTCTTTCTAGAAAGCTAGCCTTGTGGTGGCACCGGCAGACCGCTTTCCCATGAACCTCTAGGGCAGTGGTTCTCAACCTTCCTGATGCTGTGAGCCTTTAATACAATTCCTCATGTGGTGGTGATCCCCAAATGCAAAATTATTTTCATTGCTACTTCATAACTAATTTTTCTAGTTATGAATCATAATGTAACTATCTATTTTCTGATGGTCTTTTGGGTGGGGGTCGCAAACCACAGGTTGAGAATTGCTGCCCAGGAGTGTGTAAGTGTATTACTTCCTATAAACACCACACAATCAAACATTAATTGTTTTCAAAATTTTTAAAACTTGCAAACAGTATATTTAATTAATATTGCAAAATAATCAAAATGAATGACACTTGTGACAAGAATTTTTTTTCTTTTGAACAACAACAACAACAACAAAGCTATGGGAAGTGACAGCATCTTTAACTCACAAGAAAATGTAGGCTTTGGGTATCAAAACACAAGGCAGAGAGAGAGACTATATCTTAGATTCCAGTTTTATTGAGCAGAAAAGATGACGGCAGTCTATACTTCTTAACCTAAATGCTACAGACGTGGACCAAGTAATTCCTCAACGCCCTGCTCACCGTCAAAGACACCAAGTCTCTCTCCTCACTCAGCGATACGAGCTACAGACACCTCCCAGGGTGACAAGAGGTCACCAGATTTTGTCAAATGTCTCCCCGAGAACTACCATTCTCCCCTGACCCCCAAATCCAAATCTCCACCTTCCTGCTGGACACTCACCCTATGTCACACACTGACTAATCTTAAGTGTCAGGCACCACCATATGGAACCGTGGGGACATAATCAGTAACAAGGCAGCCCTTGCCTCGGAGCTTAGTCAACTGCGTGCGAAGCAAACAGACAAAAATCTGAAAACTAGTCACCAATCTGCATGGTGTTAGGAAAGACGAGCTTTCCTTTCACCTTCTCGGGTAACATTTAAAAATCGGCAGAATGGGCCGTAAGGGTCAAACTTGGCAGAAGTGGCAACGCAAGCAACAGCTTGGAAGGCCTCAGGGCAAGCGTTATTATCCGACCCGCAGGGGAAGAGAAGGGGGAAATTCTCCCGGACCACCCGAGCAGCGCGGGAGCGGCAGGGCACCGACATCAGCTTGGCGTCCACCGAATGTAAAACCCGGGTTCCATTTGGGAAGCTCCCGGTACCCGAACATGACTTCGGAACACCCTACAGAGCCAGCCCGGCCAAGCGCGAAGGGCGACAGGGCCGCGGCCCGGGATCACGTAGGTTCCTCCGCGCGCGCGCACTTACCTTCCGAACAGGCAGGAGCTGAGGGTCAGCGGGAAGTGTGCGCCGTCGTCGCCGCTCCGCTTGATAGTGACCAGGCGAGCCGAGGACGCCATGGTGCGCCCGGCCGTCAGTCTGAGACGAGCGACTGCGGCCGAGGACCGAGTGGCCTCTCGGTGAAGTTCGCTGGGCGCCCCCGGCCGGGACCGCTCCTAGGCGGGTTCAGTCCGCGTCAGAGCCGTCGGCTCCTCAGCCGCGGCGATCCCACCGCGGCCACCCGCGCCCCTCGCTCCGCCCCGACCCGCACACCCGCCGCCCGCTGCCCGACTGCCCTCCTAGGAAGTTCCGCGCCAAGTCCACCCGCCGCGCACGACCGATTCAAAAGAAAACGACAGTTC